TTTCAACTTCCTGCTTGAGTTGGTTAAATGTGGAATCTGCTGGAGCCTCGTTAGGCTTCAGGGCTGCATGTGGGGTTAATTTCTCATTTTGGAGAAATTGGTCTTTCACATACTCACTTGTGCGTTCTAATGGGTGAAATGTCTGTGGGAGGCGAAAGCTTATGCGGTCTTCCTCTATTTCGCTTGCCGCAGCCTCGTATACATTGGCTTCAGCGAGAGCTGCCTTTGCATCTCGTTCCTGATGAAGCACTTCCAATGTAGCCTCCAGACGCGTTTCTTCCACTCTGAGTTCTGCTTGTTTTACTCTCATTTCAATTTCCTTTTGAGCATAGGCCGCTCTGGCTCGTGCTGCCTCTGCTCTAGCCCGTGTATTGACCGCAGCCAAGCTGGCAGATGACTTACTGGAGCCCTTTGATGATTTTGATGCGTGAGTGTGGACTGACGTGGATTCATCATCTCGTGGCTGAGACATGTTTAATTTCTTAGGGAAGACTGACGTGTGTATCCACCTGATATTTTGATGATGTAGACCAGGGGTGTCAAACTCATTTTCCCAAAGGGCCACTCTGGGAAATTGGAATCACATTAAGGGCCGTACATATGCTTTACTGACATGCCTTTTTTTATTCAATAAACATAAAAACATATCTTTCAATGTATTGTTGTATGTACTATATAGCCTTTCCATATATATTTAAACACATTGCTTGGCAATCATAGCATTTGGTAAAGCAAAATAATGCTTTCTGGCTAGCATACAGCCAACTCAGAACCTGTTGCACAGGCCTAAATATGACAACAATATGAAAAAATGGTTGTGTTGAATAATAAACAAACACAAATCAACCTGATATAAAAGGACAAATATTGAACGTTGTCCCACATTTCAACAGATATCACAAGCCTTGATACAACAATGAAATGGTTGTGTGGAACATTGTATAAAAGTAAAACACAACTGAACATGTTGTCCCTTGCAGTCTGTCCTATTGGCATAAAATCAGCTGCACATAAAACCCCCAACATTTACATACTAACCTCACTGTCAAGCAAAACACACATTTAACCTAATTCACAGATCATTACCATATTAGTCAAGCAAAACAATGCGTTCTGAATACATTTGAACTGGTAGGCAGCCAACTCAGAGCAACCTCTTTCACAGGCCTGAATAGGAATATTTAAAAAAGGTTCTTTGGGACATTAAATAAAAACGTATGGCCTGATGTAAAAGCTAAATAATTAATAGTGAATGTTCTTGCCCACATTCTACAACTCTCAAAAGGCTTGTTGTACAGTTCTGAATATGGTTGTGGGACATTAAATAGTCAGCAAAAAAGTAACAGTAACAGATCTTTGATCATATTGTTAACACGTCCCATATAAACTGTAGCCTTCTGATTTACAACAAGGTGCACATCTATTCTTGGCTGAAAGTCCTGAGCTGTAGCCACTTTCAGAATGGAGCAAAGGTGTTTGAGTCGGGATCTGTGAGAAGACTTGTTGATCTTCATCAGAGAGAACATCTGCTCACACAAATATGTGCTCCCGAACATGCTCAGGACACGGGCACACAGAAGGCGGAGCTGTGGCATTGTGCTTGGGATGAATGTAGCAAACTCACCTGCCCCAACAGAGTCAAACTTGGCCTTTAGTGGCCCATTGCAGTGTAGTTCGATTAGTTCTAACTTTAAGTTATCTGGGGCGCTGTCCACATCAACTGAAAATGGATTTGTAAAAAGGTCAAACCTGAATTTCTGGGTCTCAAAGTCGGAAAATCGCCTGTCGAATTCGGCTTTGAGTGTTTTCAGTTTTAATAATTTAGTAATCGGCAGCGAACCGCTTCAACGTGTGTATTTCGGTTTATTTGTTATTCTACAGCAGGGGTCGGCAACCCCTGGCACGCGTGCCAGCATTGGCAAAATGAGTACTTTTCACCGTACTTTTCGCATTTAGTTCCGTTAGTACCCCTTATGTCACGTTCACACCAAAAAGAGCACTTAATCTCGGGAACTTTTACCCCCATTTTTAGTGCCTGCTGAGAGATGGTACTTTCCTGGGGGGAAAAAGTGCCCCAGTTCTGATTGGCAGGGCAATTGCAAACCACGCCCCGTCCAACTCTGAAATGTTTTGTAGAGCTGCCATTTTATTATCCTGACATTAGCATTATTAGCATTAGCATTCGCCCAGTGCACAAACGCAGAGAGACTAACTTATGGCAACACAAAATAAAACATGGGAGCGGTGGAGATGAGGAGGTGTCGGCGTTCTGGCGATTTACTCGGAAGGCTTCAGTAGAAGCTGCTGGGACTCCCAGCAGAATCTACTGAAGCCAGTCCCCAACTCCGGGGACTTCCGGCCGGGGACTCCGGGTGGCAGTATACGCCATGAAGTTGTTTGCGGCCTGCCAGTAAACCCAAAGCAGAAGAAGACGAAGTGACGTCAGTACGCAATCTGTACTAAATGCCCTGGGGTAATAAGTGCCGGGGCACTGAGTGCCGGCACTAAATACGGCAAAGTACTTGGTGTGAACGCGCCTAATAGCCGCGTTCACACCAAGTACTTTCCTGTACTTAGTTCCGGCACTCAGAGCCCCGGCGCTTTTAACTCCAGGGCACTTAGTACAGATCGCGTTCACACCGGAGTACTTTTCCCTGAGGGAAGATTACGCAAATGAGCCGCTGACGTCACTTCTTCTTCTTCTGCTTTGGCTTTACAGGCAGGCCACAAACCACTTCACGGCGAGTACAGTAGGTGGCGGTATGCACCTTAAAGTTGTTTGCAATCCGCTACAAAACAAGAGAAGAAGAAGAAGAAAAACTTCCCGCGTATACTGCGACGCCCACCCACTCGCTCTACATTAGGCGTCTGTTGTTTACCTTCCGACCTCAGACATGATGGAGATGGAGTCGACTGAAGTTGTGCTGTTTGTGCTCATGTTATACAGCTTTGTAACTAAGTTAATGCAGCCTGAGCAACTTGCGTACAATAACAAAACAAGCCGAGCACGAGTGGTGGTGGAGAACGCTTTTGGCAGACTGAAGGGCAGGTGGCGGTGCTTGATGAAAAGAAACGACTACAAGATCACAATCCAGGTGGCAGCATGTTGCATATTACATAACCTTTGTGAAAGTAATGATGATGAGTACAGGGACGAATGGACTGCCTTACCGGCGACCCAGCTTGATGGGCCAGCGCCAGCCATTGCCGAGGCTGGGGGGCAAGACACGCACACAGCCCTTATGAGGCATCTGAACAGCGTGTAAATTGTACATTGTAAACATTTTGACAATAAAGCTGATCTTTTGTACAGTGCTTTTGTTACTCTTTTATTTTCCAGTCAAGACAGGCAACATTACAATAGTGTACAGTGTGGCAATATAATAACAATAAACTGTGCCAGGTGTGTTGTATGCACAGTAAATAGGCTCAGCAGCAAACCCACCTTTATTATTTATTATATATCTTCCTGAGACCCACTGCATCCGTCTGCCATAAACACTATGGAAACCTACATGTTAGTTTCGGCCCATAGTGGACTCCATTTTGTGTTGTGTAAAATGGGGGGGGGAATTAAAAGTTTGCAAATCCCCATGTCCTCCTCAGAGGACAATCATAAAAACATTTAGTTTTAGGTCAAATAATATTTAAAATTATATAAATTATCATATTTGTGTATGTCCTGCCATTCCTCCACAAGGTTGCAACATTGATGACATTCAAAAACTGTAATTAAAAAGCCAAGAGTACAGATTAGAGCAAGCAGGGTATAAAGTAGAAGTAAATGTTACAGTGGAGTGAAATATATGAATAGATATTGATTTGACTGAAGGCAGCGGCAAAAAATAGACCCCACATATTGAGCTCCCATGCTCGCATATGATTTATCTAATGAGGTTAAATGTGATCAAATATATCTTATGTAACTTTAACTTTATCTTACTTCATTACATAAGAATATTTTGATGTTAATAAATGTGTACTTTTAAGACAGAATTTTAGCTGTTGCTACTTTTACTTACTAAAAGATTTGAGTACTTCTTCCACCACTAATACTTAGGTAATTATTTTGTTACTGAGAATCAAAAAGCCTTTATTTGTCCCGCAACGGGGACATTTACATTATTACAACAGCAGATAAAGTAAGGGAAAAAAAAAATTGCCAAGTATGCACATGTTATTAATAGCATAATAAGCAAAAACAATTTTACAAATGTACCTGAGTATTTACATTTATGACACTAAAAACGTTACTTTAACTACATTTTTAGGCGGCTTTATGGAATCCATAAATAAACATTGAAATATAACTAAAGAACAAAGTAACTAAAATAAGAAGCACATAAAATCTGTGATTTAAATGCATCAATCATAATGCAGTAATTTAATGACTAGTGTGCAAGTATCTTTTGGTGTTAATAATTGTGCTCTTTCAACTAAGATCTTGATTGCAGGACTTTCCCTTTCACTAATGGAGTAATGCTACTTTCACTTATTTAAAATATTAGAGTACCTTTTCCACCACTGCTGCTGAAGAAAGTAGCCTTTATCTCACGCATCCTACACACGGTTCCGTTGCGAGCTTCAACGGAGACGCTTCCCATTCACTTTGAATGGGGTGACGTCACGCTTTGCCGAAATGAATTGTGGTTCCGTTGCTTCGCTTTGCTCGCGGTGAAAGTTGAGAAAGGTTCAACTTTAAGCGTTGACGTAAGCGCCAGCCAATCAAATCATATGCCAGTACAAGCGCTAGCCAATCAAACCGCATGCTTTGTGTGTCCGGGGCGGGAGATGAATGTGATTGGTTGTTGGCCTTGTTAACCCCAAGCACCAGACACGCCCACCGGCAAGCGTCAACGCGATGGAACCGTGTGTAGGATACGACAGTCCTGCATGTGTGTGTGTATGTGGATAAATGATGATGTGACTCTATTGAGGGTCCTGCAGCCAGTTTCCAGTCATCCCTCTCTCTCTGACCTCAATGTCCCTCCTCTCTTCAGTGTTCTGGGAACTGTGGCTGCAACCTACCTGGCAATCGCCATCATCGTCAAATACCACACCACGCCTTCTGTTATCGTTCACATCGCCCCTCTCTACACCGGAGGGTAAGTGTGTGTATGATGGGACTCAAACAATCTCTTTGCTTCTTCGCTCACAATGGCTGGTGGAATCAACATTGTTGTAGAGAGTAGATGCAGACACATTTCTTCCAACAGGAGTGCACTGAAGTATCAAAGCTTTAATTAAGTCATTTTTTCAGTCTTTCACAGCTATATACATTTAAAACACATCCTGTTTTTTTCTTAACATTTCATGAGCTACAATTCACTTTTGTGCAGATATAAACATGAAGCAACAGCCAGGTTAGCGTAAAGAAGTAAAGTTAGCAGGGAAAAGGGTTTAAGAAGAATCTGAAATCTTTTGTTTCTCCCACGGTGGTTTAATATATATAATACCAGCAAAGAGGACAGGGCAGAGGAAAGGGGGAAACTCCAAAAAGCACAACATGGCCTCTTTTTAAACTGTACAAAATGTATATATCACACATAAGTAGTGTTATTGCACAACAGTCTTTGTGTGGTGGTTGTTGTAAAATACAATTGTTACCTTGTTGAAAAAGCTTATTTCTTCCCTTCCCTCAACCCCAGCTTTCACACAAAGCTAAGCTGACTGTGTAGCTCCATTTTTAACAAAAAAGGATTTTAGAGGGATTTAATACTTGGCAAGAAAGCAATGATTGTATTCCCATAATTGTCAAACTTTCTTTCTCTTTAAATTAGTGTTGGTCTGGATCTTTCAAAATGCTATGACAAAATGTGTTTGAGTATTAATTAGCAGCCTGTATTTACTTTTGTCTGCATGACTAAAACCTCAGAAGCTTAATTGGAATAGAAAAAACAAACAGAGTAGAACAAAAGGCTAATCAGTACGTTTTGCTTTATTCATCAGTACACTTCTGTATTGAGGGTTGTATTTTTCTATGCCTTGAATAAACTAATCCCCATTTTTCTAATTGCTGTTCAATGCTACTGCTGCACAATTTCTATTCTAATTAACTGCACATATTTTATTCAAGTAAATTGTTATGTTCTTATTGAACTTCATTTTTTTCTATTTCTATTTCTTGTTAACATGTTTTTATATAGTTACATATTTGCTCCTTTTTACATCTTAATCCCTCTTGTTGTGTTCATGTACGCAGCAATATACACCAAAACAAATTCCCTCTGTGTCAACATACTTCCTCCAAATTGTGATTCTGAAATGTATAAAATGAGGTCGCTTCATAGAAATGTCTGCATTGCATCTCATCCTTAAATCTTCCTGAATCCAGGACACACACAGAGCAGATCACATGTCCTCCTCGCTGCTCTCCTTGAACCCTGTGCTTGTCTTTGACATATAAACCATATGGTGAAGTTTCTCTAAATGCCACGGCATTATGAATGACGCCCTAATAATAGCCTATTTCCTCTTCTCTTGGCATCTGTGAGGAAAAATGGATCTTCCTTCCTGTGTGTGTGTTTGTGTGTGTGTGTGTGTGTGTGTGTGTGTGTAGGATCAGCTCGTGGGCCTCCATGTTCAGCGTCATCCCCACCATCTGCTTCGGCTTCCAAGTGAGTGCAACACATGTGAAATGTATTCATGGAAGAGCTTCTGACACTGTTAACATGTGTTTGGAACATCATGCTGTGGTGAGGCTGGAGGCCACTGAGTGGTACATTAGTCACTGCAGTACTCTGGGAAATAACTTGTTGTTGTTTTAGAGCAGGGGTTACCAACCTTTTTTAGGGTGAGGGCTACTTTCACAAAATAAAACAAGTCGTGAGCTACTTTTACTCCTCTTTCTTTTGTTTTTTGCAGTGTATATATTTAGCACATTTTAACATTATGATATGCTGACCTTTAACTTTTGTGTGCTGTTTGGGTCTGTGGGACCATTTGCAGTGTTTACTAAAATAACATGTATTCAATTTAATTATTTTAACCTGCTTTATTTGGGGGTGGACCTCACATACAGGAAGATTTATTTTAATATGTTGAAGTGAAAAGCATCAATCTGGAGCACTTTGAGCACAACATGAATTGATGGATACAGCTCTCAACACTCAGATGAAAGGGAGCTGGATACTTTTCAATAATCCAAACATCTTTAGAATATGATCACAACCAATAACAAATCATTTAAACTGGTTTATTCTTATCTTATGTTACCTAGTTAGCATTCTTTCTTTTTATTTATGCATAAATAAGTAGATTCTGCCAGAAGGAAAGGTTCAACTCCTTATGAAGCGGTGAGCTGCCGCTCCACATTGCTTTTCTTCCCGACTGCAACGCTGGTCCCGCAAATCAAGCAAGAACGTGATTGGTCGATATTCATTGTGGGGGTGGGGGGAGGAGGGGTGTTAGATAGATATAGAGCTGTAGTAAGTAGATAGAGTTCGCTATGATTGAGGTTTCGTTTATGCATAGGGTAGATTCTTTTAATTACATTTCCTTTTTTTGTTTTGTGTATTTTTTACATTTTGGATTTGCTTGGCGAGCTATTTTTAGAACATGCCCCGCGGGCGACTCACGTTGCCCCTGCGGGCGGCTAAGTGCCCGCGGGCACCGTGTTGGCTACCCCTGTTTTAGAAAGTACCTGGCCTTCGAACAGTATTCTACAGACTTAATCATTTTTTTGGTACAGAGCCTCTTGAAAAAAATACCATGATCAATTTGATCTCTTTTTCCATGATGACTGAATAATGTTTCAAAAATAATGATTCCAGACAACATCGTAAATGATATCGCAGTTGCAATATCAGTCATTTTACAAATTGTGCCGCCCTACATCTACCTAATTTGGAGGTTACATTGTTAAAATTAAACCATTAAGATCAATTAGTCCAGAGCTATGGAATATAAATGAATATTTTCTTTTTCATTGTAGCTTCTTTACCCCCAAGTGTGCAGAAACTAAAGGTTATAGACTTCTTTTTAAAATACAGAAATGTGAAATGATCAGAATTTTAATTGGTATGGGCCATTAATAAAAGCTGGTTATTAATCCGTATAGAGCCTTAAGCTATTTGCCTGCTGGCAGTAGGGTTGAACAGGAATATTCATACTGTGCTTTGAGAGGTCACAGGTATTGTTTTATGTAGATTCTTTTACAATGGTACTGAGAAAAAGACACAAGTGTGTGTGTTTGAGTTAAGTGCTGCGCTGTCAGGGACCTACAGTAAATGATAATTGGTAATAATCATAGAGCATTATTTTAAAAGCTTGCTGCTATTATCTTTCATGTACTAAAATGCTATAGTGCTTCTAACATGTAAACCCACATGTTTTGGTTGTATAACATTACTGTTTTGAAGCATGTTATTTTGCACATAGTGTTACAACCATAGCTGGCAGTATCTTCAAATGTACTCTACAGCTATCTCCTCTCATCTCATCTGTTCATTCCTATGGAAGTTGCTCAGTGGTGCATGAAGTGGTGCCCTGTAGATTCAGAAATTACCCAGATCACCCGGGGCCTTGGACCCATAGAGTATTTGCACTTAACTTTCCCTCTTCCGATCTGCCGGGTATCGGCTAAGTCAAATGATTGGGGAGGGAAAATAACTCTGGATTCTAATTTTAGCACACATTTTTAGAAGCGCTATAACAAATGTCTTACTAGGTAGTTTATTTGGCAAAAAAAAGTATACGCTGATTTACAGATGTCTCAAGTCAACGGGAAAAAGTATTTTTGGACCCAAATGATGTCAGTCTAGAACTAAAGTGTAGTAACACTGTATGGCCACTATGAACATTTGCTTCAGCGGACAGCACTCTCCCTGGGGGCTTGAACCGCACACGGCTGCTGAGCTCTCACTAGAAGTTATGAGCGCTGCTGTTGGCTAGCTAGCTTGGTAGCTACGATCCTTTGCCGTACCAAATCACTACTTGCTGTTCAATTAACCCTAGAAATGTAAAGCTATAGTATAGTACCGGTGGTATGTTACTTAAATGTTGGGATAAAAACCTTCCACATGCATAACTTCCATCTGAATAGTGCTGTGTTCACTGGAGTTTAACTGTTTGCGTAACTTCCGTGTCGTTGTTAAGGTGGTGATCGTTGAATGTGAGTGTCCAGCGTTCCACACTCAACTTTTTGAATGTTACGAGTGCTATATCTGGGTGCTCATAGTACATGTTTCTATACTACGCATTGGGATGTACTTTTGCACTCAAAACATCAAATGTAGAACTAAGTGATTTGAGACACAGCAAATATGTCTGTGTATTGTTTCTGCATAATAATGGAACTGACTTTGAACAGTTGGCATTGGATCTCTGGAAATAAACATTGCTGTTGAATTTAAAATAATGTTTCATCCATTGTATTGGGTTAGAGGCAGACGTTTTTAGAACAATAAAACCACACCATCCTTAGGGCCCATCACTAAAAGAGGGAAATAAGTGCCTCTGCATATCTCTATAATGTGACCTCGGCAAACACTGTGGGTTTTCTTAATAATGATAAAGAACTGTACTTTATCAAGAGTGTGTTAAAGTGAAAGAAAGGTCACAGCTCTGCAGGATCTCAGCAAAGTGAGCTTTTCATATTTAATAGCAGGGTGCGGTAAAAAACGATCATCCTGTCAATCTGAAGCACAGGAGACTGATGTGTAACTCCACGGGTTGCCAAGGTAACCCCTGAGGTATGCTGGCTAGATTGAATAAAAGGAGAGGAAAGTACGAAGGGACAGATGCGTGTCCTGTCACACAAACACACACTCGCTCCCTCTGGGTGAGTGATTGCTCTGAAAGGAGAGTTGATGAGATCCTGAGAGGAGGAGGAGGAGGGGGGGATAGAGATTTAAAAGCGGGTGATGGCAGCTGGGATCAAGTGGGGACAAGAGTCTGTATCCTGACCTCTGCGATGGTTCAACCCGATCAGAGCCCGTAGCTTTGCTTTAACTCCCCATCTCAGATCAGTTCATCACACCTGCAGAGATCATAAGACCTCTGGATCCTGCAGTCTGAGCTCCAGACTGATGAAAGGAAATCCAAGGAGGACTGATGGAGGAGACAATCTGACCAAGAACTAGTCCCTCTTTGATCAGCATCTAGTCTGAGTTTTATTAAAACCAATCACGCTTTAGGAAACAAACTATAAGTCGTTAAGTGGCTAACATCAGGCCTGGTTGGCTTTGTCTGAAGTGCAATCAAAACCCATCATCAACCAAACTCGCTTGAAATAACAAACAATGACCAATACAAAAATATAAATGTTAAAACCATTGTGGCTGTGGCTCATGGGGTAAATGCGTTTCTAAAAATCGTATGCTCAGTTTCTTTGGGCAAGATACAGGCCGTTTCTCAATCGCGAGGATGCTGGCTTGGTAGCACAGCCGAACCAAGCATCTTGCTTCAGAAGCAAGGCAAGAATACATCCTGGCATTCGGAAAACAAAGAGTGGAACAGGCTAGCAAGTGTGCAGGTGTGCGTCATATGAGAGGCCACGCCTTACATCTTCCGCCACAGATTTGGGGAAATTGGTCCATGCGCAAAGCATTGTGGGGATTTTAAGGACGCGAAGTCTACCCATGTGCAGCCTCGAAATTTCCCCCAAACCAAGGACGCGGCCTCGGTGGAATTCCAAGTATGCTGGAGATTGGAACAGTCCTTCGGCGGCACTCGATGACGTAGCATCCTTGAAATATTGGCTTGGAAGCCAATATCCTCGCGATTGAGAAACGGCCAGTGCCTTGCGAAAGTATTCACCCCCCTTGCCATTTTTCCTATTTTCTTGCATTAAAACCAAAAATAATATAATATTTTTGGGGGGATTTTATGGTAAGACCCCACACAGTCAGTCAACATTGGTGAAGTGAAAGAAAAAAAGAGCACGTTTTAAAACATTCACCCCCTTTGCTATTTAGCCCAAACAAAGACCTTCAGAGTCACACACTTATTTAAATAAAGTTCACCTGTGTGCAATCAAGTGCCTCATTATCTCTAATTATTATATTAATTAATTATTATTATACAACTGTTGTAGAAGGCCTCCGTCTTCCATACCACAGCAAGTGGCCTTTCTAAGCAAGCAAACGACACCATGAACTCTAAAGAGCTCTCCAAACAGGTCAGGGACGAAGTTGTGGGAAAGTATGAGACAGGGTTGGGTTATAAAAACATCTCACAAACTTTGAACATCACGAAGCACCATTAAATCCATTATTTTAAAATGGAAAAAATATGCCACGACAACAAACCTGCCAAGAGAGGGCCGCCCACCAAAACTCTCACACCGTGCAAGGAGAGCATTGATCAGAGAGGCAACAAAGAGGCTGAGGATAACCCTGGAGGAGCTGGTAAGCTCCACAGCAGAGAGAGGAGAATCTGTACATAGGACCACAGTAAGCCGTACACTCCACAGAGCTGGGCTTTATGGAAGAGTCGCAAAACAAAATAAGAAAACATGTTTGGAGTTCGCCAAAAGGCATGTGGAAGATTCTCCAAACATGTGGAAGAAGGTCCTGTGGTCGGATGAGACTAAACTGAACTTTTTGGCCATCAAGGTAAACGCTATGTCTGGCGCAAACCCAACACCTGTGATCCCCCTCAGAACACCATCCCCACAGTGAAGCATGGTGGTGGCAGCATCATGTTGTGGGGATGTTTTTCATCGGCAGGGACTGGGAAGCTGGTCAAAATAGGAGTGATGAATGGAGCTAAATACAGGGACATAGTTGAGGAAACTGTGTTTCAGTCTGCCAGAGATTTGAGGCTTGGGCAGAGGTTCACCTTCCAGCAGGACAATGACCCAAAGCATATTGCTAAAGCAATGCTAGAATGGTTTAAGGGGAAACATTGAAACGTTTTGGAGTGGCCTAGTCAAAGCCCAGACCTTAATCCAATCGAAAATCTGTGGTATGACCTAAAGATGGCTGAACACGAGCGGAACCCATCTAACCTAAAGGAGATGGAGCAGTTTTGGCAAGAAGAATGGAAGCAAATCTCAGTGGAAAGATGTGCCAAGCTTATAGACACATACCCCAATAAACTTGCAGCTGTTATTGCTGCAAAAGGTGGCTCTGCAAAGTATTGACTTTAGGGGGGTGAATAGTTATGCACGCTCATGTTTTTTCTTTTTCATTATTATTTCTTGTTTGTTTCACAATAAAAAATATGTTTTGCATCTTCAAAGTTGTAGGCATGTTGTGTACATCAAATAATACAAATTCTCCAAAAATCTAATTAAATTACATGTTTTAATGCAATAAAACAAGAAAAATGCCACGGGGGGTGAATACTTTTGCAAGGCATTGTACTTGAATTGCTCCAAACACAACCAAATTCCCCCACTGAGATTCATGGCTTTTGGACCCACAGTTGGTGTGTAAAGGATTATGGGCTGCACATTATCCTGCCAATTACCCGGCTAGGCACTAAATAAACCGACTTGAAGCATCATAATATTTAAACAAGTTTTATTGCTTTAAATATGATTGAATTGCCTCTGCTAAGAAGAAATGGTCAGTTCTACTGCTTATTATTGGCTGGAACGGTGGCTTCAGCAACGTTACTCAAAATGACGGCAGCACTGATCAAGGTTTTCTGTAACTGTCTGTTCACATTTTCTTTTCCATTAACACTGCAAGAGCCCATCATGTTCTCTCTAGTGTTTACTTCCTGTCTGTCTTCTGTTGATTTTTCTGTCTTTAAACCTATTTCCTTCTCTTGTGCGGTTTTTTTTGTTCATGTTTGAGTTTTCTTTGCTTTACTGCAGACAGTTAAGCCATTACGAATCAAAACGTTTTCTGTGGGGTTTTCTGATGGAGGAAACTCCTCTGTTTTCTTTGGCTACCACTAACGTTAAATCTACCGAACTTCTTTCTGCAGATTGATATGCTTGCACATAGCCCCTTGATCAGTGACTTTTGCAGTAGAGTGGAGTATTCAACTGAGCCCTATAATATCCCCTTGTCTGTTCCAGTGCCACGAGGCGTCCATCGCCATCTACAGCAGCATGGAGAACCAGCGGCTCTCGAACTGGGTCTTCATCTCTGTGGTGTCCATGATCTTCTGTCTCATCATCTACTCCCTCACAGGTCAGACCACCTCCTTCTCCCCCCCCCCCACCCCCTCTCTAATAGGGCTTTCACACCAACGTGATTCCCGTTCTAGCTCCGTGCTAGAGCTTTTCTGTTTCGGTACCGGTTTTTCTTTTCAGCCCTCGTTTTGTTCACACCGCCCAGAGCCCGACTGGTGCTGCTGCTGCTGCGTCATGACGTCACCGTTTACGTCGCTGATTTTCTCCCCAACGGCGTTACGGCGCTCACTACAACAACAACAATGGGGGACTGCGTCGGGTCGATGATCGTGTTGCTTTTAATCATACGAAGCCAGATTAAATTAAATAACGACTTCTCCAACCTTATACTTTTCTCCAGAGTGCCGTGGTTCATTGTTTATTAATGTGTTTCAGCGGCATTTACCGACCGCTGCAGTGCTGGCTGCTCTTCCACGGGAGTTTATTCTCCCGTTAGCTCCGGGTTAGCTCACACGGCTCTAAAGTATTCACTGTCTGACTGTCACACAAGCAGCTGATACATATCCCCAGTTCCCCTTAAGTGAATGTGTGTCAGTCTGAATTGACGCTGTTTGGCATCACAACGCTGTTATGAAAGTTTCTCTGGTATAACATGGGTGATGTTAGCATAGCAACCGAAGCTAAACTGACTACTTGCTAAGCAGTTTTCTACAGGCACTTTTTACCGACGTATTTTTCATTATGATTCTACTTGTGATAGTCGGACATGACAACCTGTGCAGCCCATGTATTGATTCCATCCGATAGCTGCTATAATAACAAACAAAACGTCTGCCTGCTCTCCACAATGATCAATAACAGCGAACGGATGGTCAAAGTAAGGTACACAAACAGAATCACACGAAGCCTGGTTAGTGTTGCCTGACTTTATAAAGTGTGTTTTTTTTAAAGTTGTGGTTGCCTTCTAGTCACTTTGCTCAGCACTACTGCTTGTTACAACTTTTATTTGCCGTACTCGCCTTTAACTGTTAGTTCAGGTTAATCTCGCCCCCCTCCAACGTAAGCGTGACGTATGCGGTTCTTGCTTCTAGACCGACAATTTTTTGGTGCTTGAAGCGAACCGGATTCCGGAGCTTAGAGGCGGCTCCGCTGCGGTGTGAACAGGAAAAACCTGTGCTTTTCAGGCTCTAGCTCCGAACCGGCCCTGGAACCGCATTGGTGTGAAAGCCCCAAAAGGGTCTGAACAACATACTGGGTCAATTCCAGCATGGTAGCATCGTTCTTTCCGTTGCAGGGGTTTATGGGTACCTGACATTTGGAAAGGACGTGAAGGCTGACATTCTGATGTCGTACTCCAGCGATGACGTTCTGATGATCATCGCCAGACTTCTGTTTGGACTCTCCATCATCACCATCTACCCCATCATCCTGCTGCTGGGCAGGTGAGGAACGCAGCCTCATGTCGCTTCTGTTGAAGCTTATGAACTGTATCAGTCACTTTTTAAAATGAAATCATTCAAAGTCATATCAAATAATTTCCCGTGCACCTACATTTCTAAAGTTACATCCATCAATCAGTTACTATAATACTTTAATGGTCGGATCAAGTCTGAACAGTAACTTGCGTCACAGCAGCTCCATTTGCAACATCAACATGGACCAATACATGAAACAGGCTGCATTTGATCTGGGATTTAACTCTGTATTTACTGTTAGGATTGACTGGTGCACAAAGGAGTGTAGTTAAATCCGTAATTGTTCAGAACTGTAACCCTTAGAATGCCAGAGTGTTAACGTATACAAACATATAATACATTTTCTGTAGTTAAAGGGTTATTACACCTTTTACAGTCTGTGACCATGGTTAGGTGCAACATCGATTCTTTTGTTTTTTAATGTAAATAACGCATCTGTTGTTTACGAAGAAAAATATATAATTACAAAAACTGAATTTTATTTCTAAATACTAGGTTTATCGTTTAGTTTTCCACAATCGTAAATATACCATGTTTTTTATCACACCAAACATAAAACACCAGGCAAATATCAACATATCAAAAGGTATGCCATATGCCTTGCCTTCAATTATTTGAAGAAATGTCTCTAATAATGCCCTAGCGTAACATTTAAGTTGAAATAAATGTTCCCACATTTACTTATTGCAATAAATACAGCAGTACATAAAACCTCTGACCTCCTTAAATGCTCTGCCTGGGTGTCAATGGTTGTGCTCAAGTTATGTAATGCATGCTAAACTTGTTGGGCCTAGTACACATACTGTTTTGCGCCTACATTCAAACATGTTGGATTTAAAAAAGGCTTACGAAACACCAGCAAACTCATTTAAGATCATGAAATGTGACTTAATATGATGATTTGACAGTAATTAGCATAACATTTTTTGTTCCGATTTTGGTTTCCTTCCTAAACAGAAAAGACTATTCGAACGCCACTAATGTTTTTACTGCATTAAGACCCTCTGTAACCTCACTGATCAAACCCCCTCCCGCCCCCCCTCAGATCAGTGATCCAGGACCCCCTGCTGAGTCGGCGGAGGAGGCGTGACGGCGTGGTGTCGGCGGAGTTTGAGAGCCGCAGCCGCATCGTTCTGACGGTGCTGTGGATCGCCGTCACGCTGCTCATCGCCACCTTCGTCCCCGACATCAGCAAAGTAATCAGCGTCATCGGGGGGGTCAGCGCCTTCTTCATCTTCATCTTCCCAGGTAACACTCTGGCTACAGGTTCATGTTCTCTCTGATGTGGTTCAGCCCGTAAACCCTGTGCTGTGTTTGGACAGGACTCTGCCTGATGTTTGCCATGCAGTCTGAGCCGGTGTCCTTTAAAACCAGGTGAGAACAAACTTCATCTAAATGTTAATGTACTGCAAATAAACGTCTGGGTGATAATCCAAAGAATGAAAGTAGGTAAATAAATTAGGTATTTTCAGAAAGTTCACTGTTGAAGCAACCTCTAATATGTTTGATAAAAAGTGTTTGTGTTGGTGGCTCTCAGGATGCTGATGTCTTTCAGTCAGTTCAGTCTGCATGTTCTTCAACATGACGCATGACACTATGACGCATTCAGATCAAAACACTGACACTCACATGGCAAACACTTTTATGATACTTGCACATTTTGCTCAGCAGAATAATCTCCACATGTAAGCACAACTTTTATTTTGAAATGCAATCATCAGAAGTAAAAAGCTAAACGCTACCAGCAGACTACATGACGGTCACATGACTCACCATCCACATCCATTAAGCTAAAGCGGCTAATGCTCAGTGTGCAGTCTAATTTAGTCACTTGTTAGTAACTGCTGTTTTTGTGACCTGAAAAACTTCAGACATTCACCAGCGGGATTTTTTCTGATGTATTTTTAAGTAGTTAACCACAGACCTTATTTATCTTACCAACATCTTATTCAACATGTTTTTGATATTGAAACAAGGGAGTTTTTAGGAAGTGCTTAACTCATTCCTGCGTTTACGACTTATTCCTGCACCACTCTGAGTCCCTGTAATGACCCAATGACCTCTAGCATGTTTCCCTCCATAAAATTGAAAGTTATTTTCGACTACTGTGAGGCTCCACAAACGACTAGATCATCAATAGACATTCGGTACTCTTGTGTTCTCTTTTGTAAAATCGTAATAAACAATGCAACAAATAGGGCTTACCTGTGAAGAGGTGAGAGCACATGGGGGGAGGGGGGCTGGGCTGATAAGGGGGTTCTCTTGCAAGCTCTTTTAACTTTTACACCTGGCTTATCGTAGCAATTAAGACCACCAGTTGAGTCAAAGATCATGTTCCTTCTCAGAGTCACAACTCACATTCCAACGCCCGTATTACCAATCCAGATATTAAAAAACACATTTGGCAGTATGTTTATGGTCAGGAACTCTTTTGGTTGCAGGGGGGGAAAAAAGAATATTACATTACATTTAGCTGACGCTTTTATCCAAAGCGACTTACAATAAGTGCATTCGACCAAGAAGATACAAACCACACTTTTCTTTATATTTGTTCAGTATCAATGTAATCTAGTGGTAGTTGTTCAATTGTACGAGTGAACCACACAGACTTTGAACATCCTGAGATATACAGAGGAGATGATGCATGGTTATTTACTGATTGATCTGAGAGGTGCTTGTAGCATTAGCCTCAGTTCTTATGTGTCTCCTTGTATCCCCCCCCCCCCCCCCCCCCAGAGTGTTCCTCACAGGGTGGGGAGGGGTGACCCTGCTCTGCGGAGCCTTCATCTTCGGACAGAGCACCACCATCGCCGTCATGCAGGTCCTGGGGAGGATCTGAGGGTCCTTCAGTGAGGACCGGCCACCCTGGACCGGCCAACCCAGAAATGGCCCCTGAACTATCAAGAGGCCCCTCAAAAACGTGCTACTCATGGCCTTACAATGGACTTAACCAGAAAACGCCCGTTTTCCCCTTCAGTGTCGAGGTACGTTGTTTTCCTTTGGGTTTGTTGTTCTTCGTTGCATCCCGACAAAGGCCTCGTCTACCTCTCGCCATGCGGAGATGATCTGATTGAAAACCCCAGGTGTTGCTGCAGGTTATTGTTCTTTTTTGCATATTTTATTGAATATCTGCATTCAACCTACCTATTTTCAGAAAACGATTACATACAGTCTATGGATAAGATGAAGAGCTTTATAAAGACTTGTCGGTTTCTTGAACACCATATGAGCAGAATACTTAAAGTGGACCTATCATGCTATATTTGAATAATATAGTGTAGGACCATACCTATATAAGGCATATTTATACTTTTTTTTTTTCAAAATACCAAACAGATCATGCATTTTAGCCATGCCTCATTTAGCTCAATTTGACATTTTTTAGCTCTGTGTTTGTAAGGGCAGATTCTGTGAGAACAGCACCATCTACTGGCCTGGCATATGTACTACAGCGTCTCCAGCGCTTTCGAACGGCAATGGCCGTGGCTGTCTCCTCCTGATTGGTGGAGTTGGTCCAATAGCCGTAGCGCCACCGTCCTGATGTCAGGACAGTGTTCAAATCTGGATCAGTTTTTATCAGATCCGTTGCAGCCCCTTTTTTAGAGATTTGGGTATGGAGGAAAATAGAGAGGGTTGTGTTTTCTGACACTTGGTGAGTTCCCTGACACACCGGGGACACATATTCATGTATAAAAGACGTACAAAAGTGCATTTTGCATGATAGGTCCCCTTTAATTATCAGGAATGTAACATCAAACGGTTAGAACATTATTCCAAAATCAAATGAAAACTGGAAAGCTATAACCATATGTGCAGTAAACCAGGAATATGTGATTGTCAATATTTAATATTTCCTTTTGTTTAACCACCAGAGGTTGCTTAAGCGAGAATATTTTTTCTGTAAATTTGGATGCAACTGTGTAAATAAGTCTTGTCATATCTTTTTTTTATGTAAAAAGAGAAGAAAAGAGTTCTGGTATTTGAAGAAATGGTAACTGATGTATAAAGTAGACAACTTTAAGTAAATATTGAATAAATGAAAAGATAATAAAATACAATCATTTTTATATGAAACCTTCATTGAATGTGTCTTTTTTTGGCTGTTTTAGTATACTTGTAGAAAAAAAGAATCTGGACGGAAATAACAAAACATTGGATGTCTTTCTGCCAGATAAACTTCACAAATGGGCTGCAAATTATGATTATTAGGTTGTTGTTTTCTTACAAAATGTATTAGCTCCGCCATAGATTTTGTTTTTGTTTTGTTTGACAACAGGCTAAGATAAGATGGACCTTTTTAATAATCTCCATAGGGAAATTCACGTGTCAAGGCAGAAACAGGATTGCTGCCAAACAGAGAAGAATGGTCAAAGGATCTTGACAACTTGCCACCAATCACTGTTACTGATGTTGGCCCCTCTTTGGTGTTTGAAGTTAGCCCCTACACCTGTCAGCATTTTCTACATTTGACATATGTCTAATTTACAAACAAATGGGTACATACAAACGTAAGATGTTAACTGTGCTAACAAAACGGTGGCTTATCATGCATACTTAATCTACCAATAGATTTATATTTACTGCGATAACTCAGTATAGTTTCAAATGTTTTGAATCTCATTCCCTGTGTAGCCTTTCTTGTTACTGCAGTTCAGCAATTCTTCTTGACACTTGCAGTAAACGGTCAGCAGATGGCTGACACCAAAGCCCTTTAGCGTCCTCTGCTAATGTTGGCTACGTCCCACTCATTACGTTTGTCTGAAACAATCAAATGTGATCCAATCGGGGCTTTTTTGTTTGGTTCGTTTGTCATGCAATTGGCTAGTGACTATGTTTAAAATGTTGAATTGAAACGCTTAACACTACTTTGCTAATGGTTAACCAACACGTTTGCTAGTATCCTTCAAAGATGGCCGACCTGCTGTTGATGATCTCTTATTCCCATTCCCTATCGTGCATGCTGTCTTTTCTAAAGTATACTTCACTTTTGACACCTACCGTAAATGTGGACCCACTACAGACTTGATTAGAATTAGGGTGTATAACACACTGTGACTATGAAAAATAAACTGAAAGTGCCCCTTTAATTAAATGTATCACATCTTGCTCTGTTGGGTTGAGATCAAGTACACCAGATATTTCATGTTTATTCCATTGTAATTCTTATCAAACCGTTAAGTGAACAATTGTGTATTCAGGATTGTTTTATTGATGATAAGACTACAATCTGCCAGAATCGTTCCGTATGAAACAAACACCAAAACAAGTCATCGCCAGGATTCAAAATAAAAGCCACACAGTTTTATATTTTTATAGTTTATTGAATTGCATCACTCTACATCATCTAGAATTTCAACAAGATATTCTTTAAAGACCAAATATAATACTTGCATCCCTGCATTAAGTCTCTACACTTAAGAGAAAGCTGTATTTTTTTACTGAAACATACATTAAGAATTAATATTTCATTAAACATTGCCATAAAAGTGAATGTTCATTCTTGTATGCCATTTTTCTAGTCATATATATTTTATATAATAGGTTTTAGTCTCTGTCTCCTTCAAAGGAATACTAGAAAAGAAAAAGGTAAGAAATGCACAAAACCCATTGAAGAGTAGCATGGCCTAATACTACAGCAAAGAAGTTACTGGACATTCAGTTGACATGCACTCAGTTGAAGGATAGAAAAGAACACAGCCATAGGGTGTTTCTCAATGTCGAGTACGCTTGCTTGGTAGCACATGTCTTCCGAGCATCTTGCTTCAGAAGCGAGGCAAAAATACTTCCTGGCATTCGGAAAACGAAGAGTGGAACAGGCTAGCAAGTGTGCAGGTGTGCGTCATATGAGAGGCCCCGCCTTACATTTTTTGCCACAGATTTGGGGAAATTGGTCCGTGCGCAAAGCATTGTGGGGATTTTAAGACCGCGGAGTCTACACATGTGCAGCCTCGAAATTTCTCGCTACGAAGTACGCCGGGCTCGGTAGAATTCCAAGTATGCTGGACATTGGAACAGTACTTCGGCGGCACTCGATGACGTAGTATGCTTGAAATAGTGGCTCTGGAGCAGCTTTACTCGACATTGAGAAACACCCACCGAAAGAAAGAGTCGTAGCACTGATCCGTTTCCTGATTGGCTCATGAGGTAAACCTGGTGACACGCTTCCTCTAATGTTTCATCTCTTGTTGCCAGGAAACATTCAAATCAAGGCCTGTTTCAATAACAACTCTTTCATTGTATGGCGAAGCACAGGTTGCACTGAGGAGTATTAAGGATAGAAAAGAACAGGTTGCACAGTCTGAGGGACATTCAGGAATGTATCAATAGGAAACAGTATTGGCATTTCTGACAGTTCACTCACTATCTACCTCACATACACAACCCAGCCGCGTGGGCGCAATGTACAGGAAAAGAAACCCTCGCTAAGAGCATGTGGGCTGCATTCAGCTGAGCACTCGAGTACTGTAAAACTATGGCTATCAGTATTAGTAGGTCACTGACATGTAAACATCAATCCATGCAATATGGCTTTATGTTTCTATTCGTAATACGGCAGCTCCTTCTTGGACACAAACAAGATTTGGAACAGGAGTTATTTTTTTTGTTCAGAAGTGAAAGATTAAAGGTACCCTGTGGAGCTTTTCTTTTAAACTAACTTGCTCTGTCATTGGCTGAGCTGCAGATTTAAGGTTCAGAAAAAGGTCCGTAGTCTTGAACAGATTCCTGTCCGTTAAAGCCCATTGGCTGTTTCCCAAGAAGCTGACATTACATCATTAAGAACTGGGGTAGAACTTGATCTACTGTTTACACAATTTAGGAGATTTAAAGGAAGTTCGGCTTTTTATTACTCTGATCTTTCAGTACGTGAGAATATGGTGTTATAAAAGCAGCAACTAATGAGTGAAATGTTAAAGTCACCAAAAATAGGTCTATCCTCAAAATATTCAAAGCCTAGCAACTTTGACAATCAGTATTTTAGTGCTGTCGTTACCTTCTCCTTACACGAGCCCAAAAAGAAGTTGTCCTTGGTGCAGATTAAAAAGTGTTCGACCTTAGAAGTCACTTAAAGAATGGTTAACTGAGCTCCACAGGGAGCCGGGGTGATCCTGATGCAGAGGTATCGTTTCTGCTGCTGCATTCTGCACCAACTGCAGAGGGCAGGGAGAGAGGGTGGCACGGAAAACTGATATCCTGAGATGGGATGTAATGCAAGATGTTCTATTGATTCCTGCTGCTGGGAAGGGTTTAGAATAAGAGAACATATGTTGTTATTTTCACATTGGTCTTTTTTTAAATAATAGCCAAATAAATGTCAAAAATGTAGTGTCCAACATTTATGCATCTCATTTAGGCATTTTTTTAGATAATGAAGAAGTGAAAAAAGGAATATGTTTAAAGTAACATTTTCATAATTATGATTTAGCTGCAGGTTGTTTCTGGTTCTTTACGTAGCTGGATTTTAAACCAATGCTAGTTTCTCTTTGGCTAACTTGCAGCTAGTCTAATGCTAATTGACAGAGCAGCTTTATTTTGAGGTCCAACGCCATGAACGCATTTAATTTCTTTTAAATTCTTTTATAAACCTTAATTGTCTAAATCTGGGTTTGCAGCACAGTAGTGTGAAATCAACAGCGAGACAGTAGGGTAAGTATATACACTGCTCCACAGCGCTACTAGTGGCTAAACCTCCACAGGGTTCCTTTAACACGGACACTGAGATTAGTATAGACATTTCACAAAGAAAGCAGCAACGCCTCTGCATGCCTGTTCTAAAAGCCTACTGTAATACATATGTTCTGTTACAGCATATGTAATAATATTCAACACTTCCACATTCCACACAGTCCTGCCCCGCTCAATGCAGCCCAGCGCGGTGCTATGGTTCATCAGTGTCAGTGTAGGACAAGGGTGTCAAACTCAAGGCCCGGGGGCCAAATCCGGCCCGCCACTTCATTTGATGTGGCCCACAAGAGCTTGCAAAGAATATAATACGTTTATTATAAGGTCACGTGCCGCTTTACAGGAGCACCATAAACTACATGTCTCACAATGCATCTCATTTGGTGAGATGCGCACTGAAGAGACTTGCAATTACTTACCAGACTTATGCTTTCAGGCGTAGTTAATTATGAAGTTATTACCATATCCGATAATAATCCAATGCAGAGGAAATATTGTAAAATAATACATTATTTTATATATATATTATGTATATTTATCTATGTATATTTATATAGTCTTAAAGTTACCACCGGCCCTTTGAGTGCAACCATAATTCTAATGTGGCCCGCGATGAAATTGAGTTTGACACCCCTGGTGTAGGAGGATCACACTCACTGGACCACAGCCAGGCAGAGAGCAGCCTGGCTGTCAATCACATGTGAAAATAGAGATCAATAGTGAGGTGGATGGAAAGAATAGAGCAATAAAGGAGTGATTCATCAACACAGCTTTAACCAGATAAAGTAATACTCGATATCTTTAAATACTCTCATCATTCTCTATAATATATCTTTAAATCACAATATTCACTCATTCTTACATTGTGCTTTCTGAGTCTGATTGTATTACAGTGGTGGTATTGGGGGGGGGGAGGTCAGGTCAGGGGGATGGAGTCCGGGTATCTTTGACCTGAAATGAACCTCAGATCTTGGTCATGAGAGTTGTGCCTAAGATAACAGTTGGGAACACGGTAATGGCCGAAGACAGAAAATGTCGCGCAAATTAGAAACTATTTGGTTTGTTTAGCTAATTATATTTGAACGAAAGGTTTTCTTCACCAGATTTGTTTTGTGCATCTTTTGCATTGCGATCTACAGACGTTTGGAGGAATCTTTGACATTCAATATTACATTAGAATAGTATCCTTACGATAGCTTCCTGATGGGGGTCTTTTTCTTTATGTTTAAGAGACCCAGTAGATATGGATTCTAATGTCTGTCATGGCCTCTTTATATGTATTGAGCCCTTCTCTCTTATAGTTGGGGATAATGGTGGCACTACACGTTGTTCGAGATGCTGAGGTGGTTGATCTATAAGCTACGGTATGCTAAGTGAAGTCAAGGTCATTTTTTTTCCGGTGATATGTTGTTAGCTGAGAAAGTTTCAATATAATGCAATGGAGAATATGTAACAATATGTCAACGCAACACAAAACTGGGGTTGTGTAATCTGATGCTAAAGGGCATTTCCCTGCTTACTGGGAGTTTACATCGCACCAAAAAGAATGTCTTGTTTTGAAAACCCTAAAGAGCTCCCCGAACATGTGTTAATGTTTAAGGCTTCATATTCAATGTCATTCAGATGGGTTTAAGTTTTTGATGGTAGGTATTCAGATTCAAACAAAATGGTACGAGAATCCGCAGCGCTTCGAAGGCAACTGCCACTTTCACTAAGGAATACAATTTGCACCATAGCACTAATAGATTTCAATAAATACAAATATAATAATCATAGAACCACATTTTCATCATGTACAATCTCTACTTACACAGCTAATATAAGTTACCCATCGCACATTTAGACAAAGAATACATAAACAGAAGGCAGAAATGAAACAAACGTTAACTGCATGGAGAACAGTGAGGTGCTGCCTTTGTCTCTCTACTTAGTTTTTTCTGTCTCAAGGTAGCAGCAGATTCTTGTCTAAGTCACAAATGATCCCTAGACAGCAAAACACTTTTTTTATCCCACCTCTTAAATGTCAGTGCTCAGAGGGTCAACCCCAAAGTGAAATAAAAGGTACATGAAGAAGCATAACTCGCCAAATGCTATAAATGTTTCTCTCATATCTGTCAATCAAAACCATCTACATATCCAAATATTTGTGAAGACCGACATCTTTTCATAATTCAGGACACCAAACTGGCTTATGTCACCATCTGATGAACTGATAACTGATGTCTGGCTTAGCAGAGATTTGGTTTCGGTTGCTCATTAAAACCATGTGCTTAACACAGGATGATAAGTTCCTCCCGTTAAAGACATTACTCCCACTGCAGCCATTCTATATAAATATACTCGGGGTGAAGATGCTTAACCAGCTCACGCAACAAATGAAGTTGATCTGAAAGTAAGTAGGCCTTAAGTTACAACCGTAACCCTGGTTCTCAGGTGGCAACATTGTTCAGAAGACTCTAAACCTATAGTGAGGTATTGAGCAAAGTTATTATAGAGGAGCTTAGTGGTCATTTTAGGACATTAACTTCGTTCAACTTGTCCGCAGGTCAATGCTGATTACCTTTGATATGGGTTTATTGTTTGTTCTGGAACATATTTTAATGTCTACCTTGTGTTATTTAGTTGTATAAATGGACAATTGTATCCGCCCATCCGCGTGGTGTCAGATTACATTTGCGAGCCGGTTAGAGGCATCAAACATAAATCAGGCATTACCTTCCAGAATTCTTCTTTTTACAAAACAATGCTATGAAAATAATAATATAGCTTTTGGCTTCATAATCGAACATTGGTGCTATCTCCAGGTCCTTCTGGAGAACTCACACACTGACATTATGTGGTATGTATGGGTATTGCATCTATAATCAAATTGTTTGAATAAAGTTTTATCAAGTTATTACTCGTGATGTTGATGAGTTTAGAACGGCTGATGTGAGAATAATGTCCAAAGCATTTGGTCAGTTACAAAATGAAAATGTAATTACCAGAACACTTTGTATGGGAGCAAATGTGGAATGAGCAGCTACTATGAAATAACGGCTAACTAAGATGATCTACCTGTGGTCGACCCTAGCAGGGAAAAGAAAAGCCACATTCCAGAATGCACTACCCCAAAACAGTTCTGCTACATGAAAAACTCTACGCCAGGGTCCTTGCTACATGACACACTCCACTTTACAGTGGCTCGAAGCTACCTGAAACATGACATTATCCAATATCTCCAATATAACTATGGTGAGATGCAAACGCATTGGTCATCTCACGTTGTTAAATGCACTGTTTGTTCAATTTTCACTGCAGTTGACACCATACATTTGCACTGTGTAAACATGTACTTACAAAAAGAGTTGAGGAATGTGAGGGTTGAAAGACGAGGGGGTTTAGGGGGTGTTAGAGTGGGTAAAACGCAGGGAGGGGAGAAGGTTTGAGGGTCGGAGGGGGAGTTCAGGAGGAGGTGGGGAGCGTCCAGGAGTGGTGGCGTGTCGTTGAATATCTTCATGCTCAGTCCCTGTTCACACTGCACCAGGCGGCTGCAAACAGAGAGGGAAGAGAGAGAGACGGAAAATAAAATTAAGTCCAGAGGGAGGGACAGATAATATCAAATGGAGATGAAGCAAAATGTGGCGAGGTAGCGAAAGAAAGGAGTGGGGGAGGAGAGATGGATCAAAAATGAGCTTGACAAGAATAAAGTACTAATGGCAGTGTTCCAGGCATCACCTCAGGTCACTGCCTCGGAGAATGGATGAAGGCCAGAGTCTGGCGTTTTAAATGGTGCCAGGTCGCTTTAATTGCTTAAAATGCCTCTTGGCTTCAAGTGATTACAATTACAAAGTCAGCCTATTGGCTACACACAAATCACTTTTTAGGACTATGAGAAGGCAAGGCAAGGCAAGGCAAGGCAAGTTTATTTATATAGCACCTTTCAACACAAGGTAATTCAAAGTGCTTTACAAAAATGGAAGACATTTTAAAAATGGCATTTAAAATCAGTCATTAAAAAGGAAAGATAATAAAATAAACATTAAAAGAAAAAATACATGGATAAAAGTTAAAAGTTACAGTGCAGTTTAAGATGTGAATAGTTCAATTAAAAGCAGCGGCAAAAAGAAAAGTCTTCAGCCTGGATTTAAAAGTAGTAAGAGTTGCAGCGGACCTGCAGGTTTCTGGGAGTTTGTTCCAGATATTTGGAGCATAATAACTGAATGCTGCTTTACCATGTTTAGTTCTGACTCTGGGGACAGAAAGCTGACCAGTCCCTGAAGACCTGAGGGTTCTGGATGGTTCATAATTTAGCAGTAGGTCAGACATGTATTTTGGGCCTAAACCATTCAAAGCTTTATAAACCAGCAACAATATTGTGAAATCTATTCTTTGACACACAGGAAGCCAGTGTAAAGACTTCAGAACAGGAGTGATGTGATCCACTTTCTTAGTGTTAGTGAGGACTCGAGCAGCGGCGTTCTGAATTAGCTGCAGCTTTCTAATAGATTTTTTAGTGAGGCCTGTAAAGACACCATTGCAGTAGTCGAGTCTACTGAAGATAAAAGCATGGACAAGTTTTTCCAAATCCTGCTGTGACATTAGTCCTTTAATCCTAGCTATGTTCTTTAGGTGATTGTAGGCTGATTTAGTAACTGTTTTAATGTGACTGTTGAAACTCAGGTCAGAGTCCATGACTACACCTAGATTTCTGGCTTTATCTGTTGTTTTGAACATTGCAGACTGAAGCTCAGCGCTAACTTTTATACGTTCTGCCTTGGCTCCAAAAACCATTACCTCAGTTTTATCTTTGTTTAATTGGAGAAAGTTCTGACACATCCAGTCATTGATTTGTTCAATGCACTTACTCAGTGTTTGAATTGGAGCATAATCTCCTGGTGAAATTGTTACGTAAATTTGTGTGTCATCCGCATAGCTATGGTAACTTATTTTGTTGTTTTTCATTATCTGAGCCAGTGGTAGCATGTAGATGTTAAAGAGAAGAGGCCCCAAGATGGAGCCTTGAGGTACCCCACATGTCATATTTGTCAACTCAGATGTGTATTTACCTATAGAAATAAAGTTTTTTCTGTCCTTTAAGTAGGACTCAAACCAATTTAGAACTGTTGCCGAAAGTCCCACCCAGTTTTCTAGTCGGTCTAGTAATATGTTGTGGTCAACAGTGGACATTACTATCTTTCAGTTCTGCTCTGGAATTGTGTAGCTGAACAGTACTTACTATTCAATTGTGTGTCATTGTTTTCTATTCAGTGCTGCAATGTGGATAAGTTGTTACAAATCTAAGTTTTTAATCAAGAAATATGAAGTTTGATGGGCTGATTTTCTCAGCTTTAGTTACCTTATTTCCCTATTTTTTGGTTTTTAACAAACTAAACAGTTAATCATCAATAAAAAGAATAATTGAAAGACATTTCTTCCACAGGTAATGTATTCCCATTGACAAGTAAAAGTTGTTGTAAAAATGTTTTAAATCGGCTAAAGGAACTAAACCACTAAGCTAAGCTAAATGCAGCTAACGTTACATGGTAACGCTTAGCAGTCTCATTTAACTACTTGTTAGCAACTGCTTTTTTTAAAAGCATAAAAGGTTCAAAATTCCCAAGTAGATTAAACTGAGGTTTTTTAGAACAAAACATGAAAACCTCTTGAGTTTTTATTAAAGATTAAGGAAACATTGACTTCAAGACGAGGGTGCCAGCAGCTAAAAAATGCCCATTTTGGGTTTAAGGACTAATTCCTGCACAATTCTATAGGAGTGCTCCTTTGACTGATGATAAAAATAAACTTCAGTCTACTGTTTTACTGTGTAGTGTTTCACACTGACCTGGCACGGCTACAGAGGACACGGTCTCCGGCTGGCACAGTGTGTCCACCTTCACATGCTGGAAGGCTTTATTGGGGGCCGACTGGAGGTGCCTGGAAGCAGAAGGGAGGGTTAGATAGCACACACACACACACACACAACACATATGTGCACACGCACTTGCCACTTATAAAAGCACGCAAGCACACATGGCCTCAAAGCGCTTATCACGGCCCTTAGCCTTTACTGTAAGAGCTGAAATATGAATGGCGTTGGGAGGCTGTGAGCAGTGGAGCAGAAACTCAGACCAGCAGGCAGCTACATCAGCAGCCTCTCCTCATGCCCAGCACCATCACTAAATCATGAAGACCTGACGCAACTCAAGTGCTTCAGCAACTCCGGAGTGAGTGAGCGTCTGAAGAAAGCTAATTAAATGTGGTTGGAGGAATTTTTCCAACGGGGCAGATGACAGTAATGGAAGAAAAGTGAGCGCTCTCTTCATTTGGTAATCACCAATCAATGAAAACAATGGCATCCTGCACTCCGACAAAGTTCCAGAGGAGTGCTGACTCGCAGACTTTTTCAGAAAGAAAATGAATATCCTCGTTCAGTAATGACTCACTTGGCAGCAATGGGCCTTCATCTGCACTTACAGATGTTTTATTGCGCCTGTTGATTTGGCTCATAAGTAGCGTCACTGCTGCATTGGCGCTTTTACTTTCAAGCCTTATATATATATATAAATCAAATCAAACTGAGCGATGAGCTCAGGCTTAAAATGGAAATAATATTTATTCAAGTACATAAAGCCAAAGGTAATTGAAAACTCACCTCTTCCACTCCTCCTCTCCATCCCAGAACTCGTAGACGACGAAGGATAAACCGTCCGGCAGACGCACCGCAGTCACACTGAGGGGGAGGCAGAGAAGAGTGGCATTGAGTGGATCATTGAGGAGAAGATGTGGCATGGAAAGTGATGGGTGAGAAAAAGAGTTATGACAGAATGCACGGAGGGAGGAAGAGGAGGGAAGAAGAGATGCAGGTATGAAGAAGAAAAGGGGGAACAAGGAGTAATAGAGAAAAAAGCTGGAGAGAAAATGACAAAAAGGGGAGGACATTTGATTGAAATGAAAAGCAAATCGATGGTGAAGTGTTTCCTCTTCCAGCACAATGATGATGGGAGGAAGATTGCATCCCATCTTTAAAATGAAAGTTGCAATTTTACAACAGAACAATGTGTGACCAGGTCAGTGTGATTGGGGGGAGTTGGACGTTAATGACCATTTTTATATAAGGCACTTTAAAGGGCCCATTTTGCTGTAATGACTAAGGTTTATATTGCCTCAAGAAGAACATTAATGTGTTGGGAATAAGCCACAGGGGTGCTTTTTCCATGTTTCCTTGATATTGTCACACAGCTTTCCACTCCACGCCCCCCTAATATAGGCCTTTTGTTGCCTTTTTTATTTGGGGCAGGAGATCTCTAGGGGATAGCAGGGTAACAGCATATGCCAAATAAAGGTGGTTTACATCACCTGGAAAATTGGGAACCTGAAGAATAAATTGAGATGAAATTACCCCTGTGTGTCAAATCAATCAACGTTGTGTTTTGGTTAGGAAACTATTCAAATCACAACGTTTTTGTATGCCTAATTATATTGTTGCAACAATTTTTATACAATTTGTTGAAGAATAGTTCAAGAATAGTTGAAAACATTTTCAATTTTCTATGGAAAATTTCATTTAAAAGGTCACCTATTATGCAAAATTCACTTTTTCATGTATTTTCTACATAAACATGTGTCCCCTCTGTGAAAAGAGATTCTGAGAGTTTCAGGAAAAAAGATTCTCTCTCTTTTTGTCCTGATCCTTTTATATAAAAACCTGTCTGAAAATGAGCTGATCAGATTTTGGCCACTTTATGATGTCATAACGATTTTTTGTCTTGTGTAACCATTAGCCAATCACCAACCAAGGTAACCCCCCCCACCTTATCACCTGAATCTCCTCCTAGAGCACCATTGTGTTTTTTTAACCAAATATCTCTCAGAGGGGCGTGGGGAGGGGCTCCTTATTTTCATCTAAACTAACAGACAGAGAATCAGCACTATTGAAACAGGGCTGAAACAGAGGGGATTATGGGATGCTACAATGGTCTGTTTGGTGTTTGGAGCCAAACACTTCAGAGACATGTTTGTTTTTATCTGAGACCTATAATATATTGATGAAAAACAGTATAATAGGGGACCTTTAAGACACAAAAGCATTACGGAAAACTGTTGTAAAATTGATGCCTTAGACTGATGTCTTTTTTGGAAATCGAACAGAAACCCCTATTCTATCATTAAATCTAGTAATGCCGTACATCATCTGAATGCCCTCCGTCTCCATTTTGTAGTTATAGTGATGTTTTAATGATCCTACATATCACAACAGATCATTGTTTAAAGTTGTGAGGTCAAGTAAAAAGAAAAAGAGGGAAATGGTTAGTATGGACTGACATCATCACACATGAATTCAATTGTGTGTTGGCCATTGATCCACAAGAGTCTACTTTCCAGTCATACTCAGTTCTTGCAATTCCAACTGTAGCCCTGGTAAAAACAATTTAGACAACAGGATGTAAAAGTTAATGATTTCCTAAAAAAAATACAAAAGTATGGTTAAAAAGATGATTAAAATGTATGTAAAGCATAACTTAGTTAAAAGTGTAAAGGTTAAAAAGGTTGGAGTTCATGAGCATACGTGTGTAGTTTGTGTAACAAAAAGAAGCCTAACTTTGGAGCAATATTAAGCCTTCTTCCTGAGAAGCTAGCATTACTTGGCACCAATGGATTCCTCACGTTATCTCGTTTAGATGATGTCATTCAGATTTAGACTGAGCCTAAAACAGATTCATGTCAGCGGAGGATGCTGTTGCCCTTGCGTAGTTTAAGAGGTTAAGGTCAGGAGAGGTTGACATTTTGATCAAGTCTTATCTTTCTGGAAATGTCCATCATTTGACAACAAAAGACCTCTTCTCACATTACCTTATCATTGAATACATTCTCAACATAAGATATAGCTTTAAACCACCATCTGTGCATCATGGTATCAACCCTATGTCACCAATGGAACCAAGACTGGGTTCTAGTGACATTACTAATTTTACATTATGTCTTTAAGGTGACACTTTTATGCAAAGCAAATTACATCAACTCCAATATCATAGAAATGCATAGGGATAAATTGGGCTTAAGTATCTTGCCCAATGACACTTGGACATATTGACTGCAGGGGGTGGGGATCAAACCACTGACCCTTTGATTGGTAATCCCAATCCTGTTCCACTGTCTAAGCATTGAATATCAGAATATTTAATATTTCATGAAGTCTTTCCAAAAGTCTATACATTTAATACCAGTTTACCGTTAACTACTTACACTCTGTGAATCTATTGTAAGAAGATGGTTGTCAAAGAGTGTTTGACAAGACCCAACCGCATCAAATCTAGAGACCCGCACCAATGCAGTGCCATCCCATTTTCATCTGTGCAAGGTCCAGTATTTGCACTAGCCTGTTTGCCAAATGAGAGAGTGCAGCAGCTGAGGTTGTGTTATGTAGATCAGGCGGAGTGCTGCAATTTTGGATCTTGTTTCAGCATAAAATTACTCTCATTAAGGCCAGCTACGGGTACCTCTTTTCAGAAATCAATTTCCATTCCAATTTTCCAGGCAATTGTCATAGTGCAAGCGCAGACCTCTCTGAAGATCACATACAAATAACTCTTTTGCATTGTTGTGAATTTGTTCAACATCAAGTTTAAAAGGCTGGAGTGTTTTCCTTTAAAAGCAGATTGGCTATTCCATAAAGTTCATACAGAAAAAAGCAGGACATTAGATACATACATAACATCTCCAGCAAATGTCTAAACAAAATAATAGGAATTAAAAAAAATGTTTAGAATGAAAATTCTACTTAAAAAGAAACATTGCTTACACTGAAAAGTTGAATGTGCTGTATGTTAATATTTGTGCCAGAGATGGAGCACTCGAGTCCTGGACTCTGACTCGAGTGCCGATTTTCGGGACTCGTGACTCGACTCGCACTGATTGACGCGGACTCGACTCGGACTCGTGAATTCTCGCGCACCATGACTCTGACTCGGGCTCGTGAATTTTTAGCCCACGATGACTCTGACTCGACTTGTACATTGACGCTCCGACTTGGACTCGGATTCGAGCAAGTTTTGTCTCGAGTCAGATGTACTCTGTCCTGGCGTGTGCACCTGCGAGGTGAGTGCACGTACTGGGCGCGCCCCCGCTATTCCAGTCTAGAGATGTCCAGAGACACACCCCGCATCGTGCTGTATGCTTTCCTAGATTTTTCTTCCACATTGGGAAAGAGCAGCGCAAAATGCTTGTTATGTGGAAAAAAGATTGAAGAGAAGGCTCCACAACACATTACTCTAATGACGCTTTTCCACTGCAGGACCTAGCACAGCTTAGTACAGTATGGTTAGGCCTTGGTAGGCCAGGCTCACTTTATGCTGCGTTTCCATTACAGTTTACCAACTGGGGTAGTAACTATAGTAACGCAGTGTAGGCGGGCGATCGGCTGTTCGGCGGGCGGAGCGACGCTGCCCGACGTGACGTCATCTTCAATGCGAACCACAAAACCAAAACATCAGCCGTTAGCTGTTAGCACTCAAGCTCACAGCTCCTCATATCTGTTCAGAAACTAGACAAAAGTTAAACAAGTACAAACCACAGACTGTCTGTGTCATGGTGAATACAGTCGCTGGTTTATTTATGTCTGTATAGGCCGTTGTTGTGAGTGTGGACGGTCGGAGCATATACTGCGTTAGGTTAGCCGATCTCCATTCAGAAAACACGCATTTTAAAAGGTTTTTCGCCTGCCGTCTGTCTGCAGACTTGTCAAAGCATTAATTCATGGTTTTTACTAACCGGTATCAGTATGTTGTTACTTCGGCATCATTTTGAAACGTGTATTACAATTAAATCACGGTAAAATATGTTCATTTTGTTGTAGTTGTAGCCCCCTTGCCAGCGATTCTCTCTGACCATTCAGCAGTCGAGAGTGTTTACGTCACTAGTTTAGCATATTCAGCCCGGTTGTTGGCCCGGTAAGAACCTCGATTTTGGAGGGCCAGAAAAAAGGTGAAAAAGTAGTCCTGAGCCGGAACTACCACTAGTGGAAAAGCAAAAAAAGAGGGCCGGGTTAAACCGTGCTACGTGCTGCAGTGGAAAAGCGCCATAAGGATTGAGTTCAGACATGTAGGTAGGCTGTCTTGAACACTATCATCAGAGTTATGTGATCTAATCAATAAATAAAGATTCAGCAGATAACACGAAAGCACATGCCTACTTAACATGCAGAATGTCGTCATTTTGCATACTAAGTAGCCATGTGCTTTAAACATTCACTATAATAATTGTAGCTCCCCGGCTGAATGATGGTCAGACTCTCCAACTGATGGTATCTGTTTATTGCACACCCTTGCTTTTATACAATCATTACCAACGTAAGAACTTATGCCCTTATCAGCCAGGTGCTAAAAACCGAATGCAAATATTTAGTAGGCCTATATGTTAATTTATCCGTCATCTATCCGTCATTATAAAGAGGCGAAGTCCCTCCCTTTCCGGTTGAGCTCCATGGGACCTTATTTCGGAAAAAGTATGTATTGAAGTCAATGGCGAGAGAAAGATTATCTTTCGATCCCGTTTGAATTGTGCCACGAATTACGCATATGATGTTTGTCAATTTAAAAGATAATTTTACAAGTCAAAAAAATAAAAATGTGTCGTAAAACTGTGAAGCAACACTTTTTTTGTGTGAAACCGCTCAATGAACTACATCTCCCGTCTCGCACCACACACCAAGACGGCCGTCACGTTGGCACATTT